AGAAGATAACAAGAATGGAGATACCATAATAGAGGGAGACATTTTTGGTTTACAGAAAAATCAGGCACTGGGGAAATGTCTGGAGATCTACAAAGATGACACCAGCTAACAATCTAAGCAACAGAGGAGAGGCTACCTTAAATGCCCTCCCCTGATAATGAGATTGATGACTGACTTATATGCCACCCAATAGCCCTCATCCAGCAGCTGGTAGAAGTAGAAGCCCAACACCCACAACTTACTACTGAACGGAGCTGGAATCCAGATGCAGAGAAGGACGAGTGAAGAGCAAAGGGGTCCAGACCAGGCTGGTGAAACCAACAGAAACAACTGACCTGAACATCAGGGAACTCTTGCTCCCCAGACTGATAGCTGGGATACCAGCATGGGACTGATCCAGACCCCAGGAACATGGATTTCATTGTGGAAACCCTGCAAATCTACAGACCTCCTGTAGTAGTTATCAGTACTTATCCCTAGAATAGGTGTGGACTTTGGGAGCCCATTCCACACAGAGGGATTCTCCCTGAGCCAAGACACACAGGGGTGGGCCTAGGCCCTATCCCAAAGGATACAATAGACTCTGATGACACCCTATGGAAGGCCTCACCATCCAGGGGGAGCAGAAAGGATATGTGATAGGTAGGGTTTTAGTTGGGGGGGGGTGGTAGAGGAGGACGGGAGGGAGAAGGGAACTGGGATTGTCATGTAAAACAATCTTGTTTCTAATTCAAATAAAAAAATCTGAAAAAAAAAAGAAATCTGGAACAGGATTCTGTTTCAGCCGTCTTGCAGATAGCAGTCCGTCAGTAAATATTTATCAAGTGAATGAGGGACTGGTCTGTTGCTGTCCAGTCCCTGTCTAAACTGAAGCAGATGAATCTGTAGTAGGGTTCATTTTGTACCAGACATAATGTTTTCCTCTGGTAAGTTATAAAAGCTAAATGGAAACACCCAGCTAGGCATGATGTCACATAGCAATCAGAAACAAGAGGATCTCTGAGTTCAAAGCCAGCCTGATTTACACAGCAAGCTTCTAGGACAGTCAGGGCTACATAGAGACCCTGTCTCCATAATAATAGTAAGAAGTAATAGTAGTAATAAATAAACTCCAGGTGTGGTGATTGCACATCTTTAATCCCAGCACTTGAGAGGCAGATCTCTGTGGGTTCAAGGCCAGCCTGAGCTACAATGTGAATTCCAGGACAGCCAGAGCTACATGGTGAGACCCTATCTCGGAAAAAAAAAGTTTTTAGAAGTGTTTAATAATAATAATAATAAAAGGAAACACACTTTAGTTATTAGCAATAAGATTTACCAATTTCATGGCTGAAAAGATGGCCCAGCTGTAGACAGAGTTTCTTTCCCACCAGGTCCCATAGCTGTTTACCCCCAAATAAACACACAAAGACTTATATTAATTATAAACTGTTTGGCTGGTGGCTCAGGATTCTTATTGGCTAGCTCTCTCTTCTATTAACCCATTTCTATTCATCTATTTCCATGTGGCTTTATCTTACCGGAGAATTCCAGACCTGTTACTCCTTCCTCAGCTACATGGCACCTCTCTATACCCTTCTTTCTCCTTCCTCTCCCCAGAATTCTCCTCTTCTGGGAATCCCACCTATACTTTCCACCTGGCTACTCACCAATCGGTGTTTTAGTCATCAACCAGTAAGAGAAGCATATATACAGAAGAACACCCCCA